AGAGAGAGAGAGAGAGAGAGAGAGAGAGAGAGAGAGAGAGAGAGAGAGAGAGAGAGAGAGGGAAGGAGAAATCAGTCAGCCTAAAAAAAGGTAAAACCTACCCGGTGCGATATCATCTCGATCGCCGCTGCGCTGCCGCCGCCTTGGCTGGCGCGGCTACCGTGCGGACAAGGCGGGGCATCGGCGTTAATGAAGAAAATGGAACTCGTCCAATCAGAGCAAACAAAGGCGATAAAATCGCTGCTTTATGATTGTCGCAGGGCCGGGGCTGCCGGGACTGCCGGGGCCCTCTGGGGCGGGCCGAACAGCCGAAATCGGTAAGTATAGGGGAGGGGCCCCGGCGGGCCGGCGCGGCGTAGCGGGGCGTAGCGGGGCGCGGAGACAAGCGGCCAGCTCGGCCCGGCCGGCGGGGCAGTTACGGCCGGCCGCGCGCACCGCCGCTCCGCGCGTACCCGATGCGGTCACCTAAACAACTCGGACGCGCCGAATCGCCTCTTCGGCGATCCGACTCCGATCAGATCCAAGAGATTGTTCGGGGCGGGGCGGGGCGGGGCGTTGCAGGCCAAACCGTCCGGCCGAATTGTCGGGACCCGATGACCCGAGATAGCCTCCCTTTATTTACAGCGCCCGGGCCTTTTTGACACTGTACCATTACCACTCGGAATTCGGGGAGTGAAAATAATGTGGCGTCGCGACGCCTCCCTGCCGCGTGTCGCTGTGGTCGTTCGTCGTCCGTCTCGCGACGCCGCGACGCCGCGACGCCGGCCCGCCTGTTTTTCGGGCGTCTTCTGTGTGGCCGGCCGGCGGACGCATCGAACGGCGAAAAAACAAAAGGGCTTGGAATTGATGAGGGGCCATGCTGCAGTTTGCTGCAGTTGCAAAGTCACGCCTCGGCTTTAACTCATCCCGCCGTTTTTCTCGGTGGCCCACCGCTGGCCGCGCCACGGGCATCCGCGGCCTACAGGCCTACAGTGTACGAGCCGGTACTGCCTGCAGGAGCATCCTGGAATCCCATCCTGGGCGGCCGGCCGGTAGCCGAACACGTGTTGGCTCGGCGCGAGGCGGCCCGCCGACGGGCAGCCACGGCAACAAAAAAACTGGACCGGCCCTAGCCAGTTTATCGTGCACGTGTCACGTCTTGCGCAACGGACACGGAGTAACCGATTGCGGTACCGTAAACAAATCGAGAAGTCAAGGTAGGCTCTTCGGCCGACCGCGTCTGTCGTAACAGGCTTGCGGCGGGAGTCGGCGGCGGGCGTTCGGCCCAACCGCGCCGGCGTCCACCGTGACCCGAGCGTAGCCTCCTTCGCGCCCGGCCTTGGCATCTGTCCATCGATCGGAATTTTCGGGAGTGCATGTGGCGGGGCTCCGCCCCCAGACGCCTCCTTCGACGATTCTAGATAGGTCGCTTCATCTACAGACGCCGCGACCTGACCCTTGCACTGTTTTTCGGAGGTCTGTGGGGGCCGCCCGCGCCGACGCTCCGCTTCGTTCAAGACGAGGGATCTCCTGCAGAAAGCCCCCTCGCTTTTTCGCCGTTTTTCTGTGTGGCAACGCTGAACCAGTTGACGCTAGGATCGGCTGAAATTGTCGGCGGTGCTGCCCCCAGGAACATACCTGGAATCCTGCAATCTCGGCCAGCCGGCCGAGCACGTGTGCATCGGCGGAGCTAGGCCACAGGCACACACAGACAGACAACAACGACTGACGACCAGACGACACACTTTGGCAACGCGCACGTGGAGTAACAGGTTGCTACGACATCAGCAAAAAGTAGATAAACTAAAGTTTCTCTTCGGACTTTATTTTTTGCGTCCACCTGACTGAGGTACCTGCTGCCACTTGGAGTACAAACAAACCCCTTCTCCGCGATCGCAGGCAATAAATCCCTGGAGGCGCCGACGCTGACGCTGACCGCGCGGCGTGGCGCCGCATCGACCGGTGAAAGGAGATACGAGGCAGCACGCCGAGCACCAGCATGCCGAGCACCAGCACGCCGAGCACCAGCACGCCGAGCACCAGCACGCCGAGCACCAGCACGCCGAGCACCAGCACGCCGAGCACCAGCACGCCGAGCACCAGCACGCCGAGCACCAGCACGCCGAGCACCAGCACGCCGAGCACCAGCACGCCGAGCACCAGCACGCCGAGCACCAGCACGCCGAGCACCAGCACGCTGAGAAGAAAACAAATGCAGTTTTGCGGGGCTGCTGATGGACGGCGCGGACGATGCGGCCTAAGTGACGGTGCGGGCGGGGGGCGGGGGGCGGGGCGGGGCGGGGCGGGGCGGGGGGGGGCGGGGCGGGCGCGGGGCGGGGAGGTCGGGTGGGGCGGGGGCGGGCCCTTCCCAGGGGTGGACGGCGCGGTGTGGACCGCTTCGCCGCTTCGAAATTAATCGGCCTGCGAAGCTCATTAGTAGCGCGTGCACCTCACGGCCTGCGGAGCCTCGACGCCAACCAGATTAATGGAATTACACTCGAGTAATTGATTCAGAGCGCGCGTAAAATTACTAATTAAATATTATGCCGTGGTGCCCTTTGACCCTGCGCGGTCCCATGCCGCCGCCCGGGCCGCCGCCCGTGGCTCCGGGCAGTGTCTCGTCTTTTTTCTTGTTTTCGTTTCTGTTTCTCGGCTTGCCGACGTGCGTCGCCGCGCGTGCGTACACACACGCCGCCCGCCGTCGCGTGGCGTGGGGGTTCTCAACGTCCCGGACGACTTTTCCGGCTTTTCCGGGGCAAATTGAGTCGGCTGGGCTGCCACGTGGGTAACGGCACTCGGGCATTCCAGGATGAATCCATTCGGGCGCTTTCCTTCGCTCACCCAAACAGAAATAAATGTTGAACAAGTCAGATGCGGCTATAAAAGCCGCGGTCATCTTCTCGCCTCCCCCCGCCCTCCCCCCACCTCCTCTCGGCGCACGGGCGGGCGGCCTGCAGGGGACCTCACGGATTCCTTGTGGATAAAAATACACCACCGAAAAAAGAGCAAATTGTTTTTGCCTTTGCTTCGCCGCACAATCACCTAACGAAAACAACAAAAGTACAATGCAATTTTCTTTCGTTTTCCGTTTCAATTTTCAGTCTCACTTTTTTCCACCCGGCAGTTTTCACGCCGAATGACTAACGATTTTGGATTCCCCCACCCACCCTGCTCGCCACGGCTGCACGTGTGTACGCCTTTTTTCCCTATTGTGTGGAACCCCCTAAACGCGCATATGAGTGTCATTTTGATTATGGGAACACAAACAATTACCATATGAGCCACGTCTCACTCAGAGCGCCGCAGCATCGGAAATGCCTCGAGTGGGGGGGGAGGGGGGGCTACAATGGGAAGATACCCTCCAGGGGCGCCTCGGCCCTCGGAATAAATTTAATCTAATGACGCTTGGCTCGACGGCGCAGGTACGATCACTTTGCTAGACTGCCATTCGATCCGAGGCAGTGGTGCTGCTCCATGCTCTGCATGCTCTGCGCGGGGCCGCGTTGTCGGCCGGTCAACTCCATGCAGTTCGTGGGCAGGCCCGGCAGGCCCCTGGCCCCAGGCCCTCGGCTAGGCCCGCCGGCTAACTAGATCAGGCACCACTCCACGCCGAGGCCGGGCCGCGGCTTTGGGCCCGGGCCGCCTGAGTTATACCGGGATACCCTTTCACTGATTCCACTCCATCCGTTTCCATCGACCCGGAAATATAGATCACAACGCACTCGTCCGCGTTTTGAATGAAATACAGTTATCATTACACGAGGCACATTAACGCGCGTGCCCTTTCCGTGTGCAGGCCGTCCAGGACGCCGTCCAGGACGCCGTCCAGGTAACTCACAGAGTAATGCCCCAGTTCCGCCCCGGGGGGTGTCTCTCTCTGTCTCTCTCGCTCTCTCTGCGGCCACCGCGTCACTCCACTCGGGGCGCCGCCGCCGCCGACTGCGCTTCGGCTGAAACTCAATCAAAGGTATTAGGCCGGGGCGGCGGCGCTGGCGGCTTGGCGGCCTCGGCGTCACATAAATCCGACCGAAACCGCATCGGGGCGAAAAGCAAAGGGACGCCGCGGCGGCACGCGAGAAACACTCACACAGACACGCACTCACACAAACACTACCGACACGCACACACTCACCGATTTTTCCACCCCCTTCATAAAGCACGTTCGCTACTCGTGGCCCATCCCGTCGCCACGACAACCGAGCCGCCGTAAAGATGGTGTCCGGCCAAATGAGTGCCTAATGCCTCGCCGAGGACCGCCGCCCCGTCGGCCTCATTTGGGCGACTTTACGATGCGAAGCAGCAGCGCGCGCTTTTTGAATTCGCCGCCCCATCGCCCCGGGGCCGCGGGCACTGTGCGTCCCCGCGCCGTCCTCTTCTTCTTCTTCTTCTTTCCCGATACCAGTGAGCACGGTGCCGCACTCGACGGCGTTCAACGCGCGCTCGCCGCCCACGCCGCCCGTAGATTTGGTTTCGGATTCCCGCGCCGTCCGAAAAGTCCCCGCTGATGGACGGAGGGGCGGTCCGGCGGCTGTGGCGGCGGTGCCGCGGGACCCCACTTGTCCAGAGGGCAGGCGGCGGCGCGGCGGCGCGGCGTTTCTCGTTCTGAAATCACACGCGGCTTTCATAAGTCACACCGCCACACCACCGCCTCGACGGCCACATTTTGTTTCTTTCTGGCCTCTCCGGCCTTTGCCGCGCCGCTCCAAAATAACGACCGCGGCGCTGGGTCGCGGACACCGCCGACGAGGCCGTGAGGCCGCCGACGACGAGGCGGCCGCCGGCGAGGCCGGTGCCGCGGTGGAAGCACTGGTTTAAAAGCAATCGGCGGCCCGAGGCGGCGCTGCGGAGCCCCTGCAGAGCGAGGGGTAGGCAAAACACCCACCCGGCGTTTGACGAGATGTGTTCCAGACAATTTCTCATCCCCGAAATTATTTTCCACACCGAGTTTTCTCTTTCCGCAATTTCTCTTCTTTACCAACCCCCACCACCCCCACCTACCCCCACCTACCCCCACTCGGCCAGCCGGCGAAGCCGCGAAACACAACTCTGGTACGGAGTCAAAAAATGATTGAGCGGAGCGGGAAGAGCAGGTTGGGGTTGTTTGAAGTTTGAAGCAGATTATTTATGCCTGAGGGACATCATGTCGCATTTCGACTACACTATTAGTGATGTAACCATTGAAAATCTTCCCTACGGTACTTGGGAAGTAAGTATTCTCATTGCCACACATTGCTTACTGTATAGCGTAGTTTGATTGTTCTCTCATCATGAATCTTCTCCACCCTCATCTGTGTCTCACATAGGATGATGTTGTCAAGTTACTCAACGAATCTTTGCCTGGCTGTGCTAAAAAGTTTGTTGAGAGCAACATTAAGTTCAAAACTAATTTTACTACTGCCACTGTCAAGGTTAGTTGATGCTGCTTACTCGCTTTGTCTGTCTGTTGACTATGGCGTCATGCTAATGGCTCTTGTTCTTAGATTACACCAGGTCACAATCCCCTGCAGGTGCTCTCGTTGAACGGGTGTATGTACGAAGGACATATACTCAATGTGTACACCGATTTGCAGCCTAATCAGGAACTGCGGATGAAAGAATCAGGTGATTTCAAGGTAATTTGTTTGGCTTCAGATTTTTTCTCTTTTTGGCATGTCTATCAAAATATCTCTAATTGTGTTAAAATTTTCAGTGTCGTTTGGAATATCCAACAAAGTCACCAAATACTATTAGCAAACTTTCTAAATCCAATAAAGAGCAACCGAGAACATTCGAAATTTTACCACCACCCAATTTTCTGCCTCAAAAGCCTCAGAAGCCCCAGAAGCAATCAACTAAGCGAAAGGTAAATGCATTCACAATGGATTACTGTAAATCCCAGAACAGGTTACACAGGGCACATAGGCCAATTCTGAACATGAGCCCGCATGAAATCTTGGGGTCTATTTTTCCCACCCAAGAGCACCCTTGGAACACATGTCAGAGTTTCAAACTTGGTGTTTGTTGTTGATTTCATTATTCTTTTCCCTCCCAAAAAAGTATGTTGGATTAAATCATTTGACCAATGTACAGAAATGGTGGTGAGCCATCTGATGGTTTCTGGTAACATTCCATCAATTCTGACCAAGTATCATGGAAGTCCATTGAGTGTATATTTCTTTTAGCGGAAGATCTTTTACCTTATTTTTGTACTTATTGTGTGCACCGATTTGCAGCTTGATTTGCGGTTCGACCAGGTAGAAATAGTTGATTCTAAGGTAATATGTATCCGCTATAGATTTCTTTCTCTTCTTTGAATGTCCAATAAAATACACTCTAATTCTGTTGAAATTTTCAGTGTCCAATTTTACTTCCAACACAGTCAGCCAATGAAATTAGCAGAGGTTCCCAGACTAAGGTACAGCAACGGAGAACATTGGAAATTATACCACCAGCCAATATTCTTCTGCCTCAGAAGCCCCAGAAGCGATCAAGTATGCCACAGGTAATGCTTTCTCTAAGGATTGGTTAAAGTCCCAGAATTCTTCTTTCACTAGCGAGTACACGGGTTTTAAGATTAAATCTTTTGATCAATGAATCAAAGTGGGGCTGGGCCATGCCACATTTTTTGGTAACATTCTCAACGCAAAGATTACTGCTGACATAGTATCAAAGAAACCCAATGACCATTGATTTATGTTGGAGAAAGATTTTTGCCGTTTTTTAACACTTGCTGTGTACACTAATGGGCAGCTTGATTTGCAGCTTGAACAGGAACTGCGCAAAATAGCATCAAGTGATCCAAAGGTAATTTGTTTGGGCTTCAGATTTTTTCCTCCTTCTAGCTTGTGCATTACAATACTGTCTCACTCATGCTGTTGCAATTTTCAGTGCCTAATTGAATTTTCAACCAAGTCAACAAATAAAATTAGCAGGTGTTCCAAACCTAAAGTAGAGCAACAGAGAACATTGGACATTGTACTACCAACCGAAATTCTGCCTCAAAAGCCAGTCGGATCAACTATGCCAAAGGTAAATGCTTTCTCCATAAATGAATTTATCCCAGAACTAATTGCTCATAAGCTAGCCCATGGTACAATTTTAAAATAGAGCTGGGACAATCCAAGTTTTGTTCTTTCCCACTTGTTCCCACTATGTTAGAGGAAGATTTTTTTCAATTTTTCTAATGTTCACTGTAATCCATTTGCAGCTTGATCAGGAACTGCAAAATATAGAATCAAGTTATGATTCAAAGGTAATTTGTACTTGCTTCAATTTTTTCTCTTCTGTTAGCATGTTTAAAATATAACTAATTTTGTTAAAATTTTCAGTTTATAATTGAGCTTTCAACAAAGTTAACAAACAAAATTAACAGAAGTTCCAAATCAGAGGTAGAGCAATGGGTAGAGCAATTGCCAACAAATGATATTCTGCATCAGGGGCCAGAAGAATCAGATATGCCAAAGGTAAAGGTTTGCTTTATTTTTTGCTATTTCTCTTAGCAAAGGTTTAATTATTATTTAAAATTCTTCCATTTTGTCCAGTTGCCATCTACTGATACCAGGAATGACACAGTTAGCGCAAAAGTGCTGACTCCGATTCAATGTCAGATGATTCAACGTGAGATGGGACGAAACATTGCCAAGGTTTCTATCTGAACATTATTCCATATGAATATACAGTAATTTAATTTATTGCTTCCTATGATCCACTCAACTTTGCTTATTTTGCAGGAACCAACTACTGACATAATTGCAGGCATCTTGGCTGCCACCGAGCCCCAAGAACAAGAGGGTCAATTAGTAAGTGGGATGAAGGCCAGGCTTGGTAACATACTGGATAATGCGTTGTTGGCAAAACTTAACTTTCTATCCTCATAGGTGGGGTTCATATATTTGGAAAAAAGTCGAACTGCAATAATGTTGTCAAATCTCACATTGTTTTGAAAAAAACAATTTTAGACTCGCCATTAAAAACCAAATGTCTTTGATTAGCATGTTAAAGAAGGAGAGTCAGCGGACTACATTAAATTTAAGTTGTATGTCTAAGTAAGAGAAGTAAAAGTAAGATAAAAGATGAAAAAAGTCAGGACAACAAGTTCTCAGAAGGAAGAAAAGTTGTACATTCTTGATTCATCTTTTTAAATGTGATAAATCAACCTAATTAGGTACAAATTACCTTTTAAGCTCTCTTAAGTTGTTTGTTTTTGTTCTCCTCACATAATTTTACTTTATTTTAATGGTGATTCTTTTCTTTATGTGAAATCTGTTATCACTTCTTAACCTAATAAATGTCTAAAATGTGCATTTAAGTTCGTACTGGCTTCCCTCCCCCCTTTTTTTAAAAAAAAGAACACAAAAATTCTTGAACATCTAACATGAAAATAAAGTCAGTGCAGTATGGAAAATAGGTTCTTTGTAAGTTGGCCGTATGAGAAATTGTTCGAAACATACATATGCGCACGACGACGCTGCCTCCCTACGTTACACGTTAGGTACCTGCTCGTCTTCCAGGCCGTGGGGCGGCTCGCGGTGGGACTGCCTGCCTGGACCTGGACCCCGCCACGGCGGCCCCAGGCTCCGGAGCCCCTGCAGAGCGAGGGGTAGGCAGGCAGGCCGTGCGGGTGCGCGCGGCGGGACTGTCTGCCGGCACGGCGCTCCGCTCCGCCGCCCGCGCCACGCGGCGTCACGCTGCCGCCTGGAGTCTGCTGGAGTCCGGCGAGTCTGGGCACAGCACGCATTCCTCATTCCCCGCGCGGCCGGCCGACACGGCTTGTCCATCGCGCCGAAGGGCCGAGGGGCCGAAGGCAATGAGATTGGCGCCAATCAAAGGTGTGAAGCGCTCCGGGCGGCGTGGCCGGGCATGCATGCCGCGGCGGCGGGGGGCGCGGCCGCTTCGCCTCGCCCTCGGCCAGGCGCCACCCCGGCCGGAGAGAAACCTCGCCTCGGCTCCGAGTGATTTTTTTAAAAGGGCCATTCAAGCCAAACGCTTTGGAAAAGATGATCTGGGCGTTTAGAAGTGGAAACTGGCCTCGAGATGTGAATATCTCTGCTTATCGAGATGGGCCGGCCGACGGGCAGCCTGAGCCTCGGCCTGAGCCTGAGCAGCCCCGGGGCGGCCGGCCACACCGCGTGGCGACGCGTAGCGAGTAATGAGGGGAGGGGAAGGGGAAGTGACATTCACGGAAATGGCTCCGGTCTTCCCCGCGTGGCGCGGCGGCGGCGCGTTGCTCAGGCTGGATTGGGCCGCGGTAAAACTCGCACTAAACCACGCCGGACAATAGGCGACTGTAAACACCGCCGGACATCGTCTCCATTTAAATTTTTGATGAAACGGCCGCGTGTGGACTGGTGTGGACAGAGCCCACGGCCGCCCTGCGTGCCGGGCGAGGCGCCGATAGTGAAACCTTGCGTCGCGCCTGTCTCCGACGGGAGACTCGAGTTTATTTAATTTTTTTCCGAGCATATCATTTAAGGAAAAGTAAAATCTCCTCGAGGACGGCCTTCAGAATGGATCTGTTGAATGGACGTGGACGTCCGAGGCGTTCGTTCAAACGCCGTCGAAAATATGAGGAAAACATTCCCGACTCGCCATTAGCCCGCGTCGTGATTTCAATGTTTGTTTCCCGGCGATAGATGAGGCGGCATCCATAACGCCGCTGCTGCCCCCCCCCCCCCCTCGTCATACTCCTTTTTTCCCGATGGCTCTGCGTGAGCACCGTGTTAGTTTTTGGCGCCTCGGCGCCTCGGACGAGTTCATTTGGATGCGCGTGGGGCACTGAAAATAAAAAGTCGTTGTTTCTTCCACGCCATGGCGCCCGGCGGAAACAAATTTTCCGACCAAAATGATTCCTTCCTGCTTGCCTAGGATTTCCCGGCCAGTGCTGCTTGACGAGAGCCTGCGGGGTGTGTCCTGGCTTTCTTGGGGTTCGGCGAAGAGCCTTCCGCACGCTGGGCAGGAGCGCGGCGTGTACTGGGGGCGGGCAGAGGGCAGAAGGGTGTCCACTCCAGCAGTGGGTACCGAGCTAGCCCCGAATCCCGCTCCGCCTGCCGCAGGCATTCGCCCAGACCGTATTCGCCCGCCGAGGGTCGTCGTCGTTCGTAGGAGCGCGCGTGGCGTGTCGTTGTGAGGGGCGATTTTTTACATGCTTTACATGCAGGCCCCGGCGCGCGCTTGTGTTGGGGGGAGTGGCGGTGATGAAGCAGCTCATTGCATGCGTGGCGCTGGCTGCGCTGGCTAGGAAGCATTTAGGCCTCGGGGGGCATTCCGAACCGAGCGGCCCGTAAGTGAGTCTCCGAAGTAGGCCGGTGAAATATGGCTCATGTGTCGGTGGGCCGCGCTCGGCCCCGCCCGGCCCCGCCCGGCCCCGCCCGGGGCTCAGCCGACAACAGCCTTTCGCGACCAAATTGCGATCGTCTTTAATTTCCAGCGGGGAAGCATCATGTTGCTACCGTTTTTTAATGGGATACTTCGGAAAATTGCACCCGATGTTTTACAAAATTTTACCTTGTTCTAATATGCTGCGCATGAAAATTTTCTACGCAAATCAATTTAATATCTTCCATTTATTTTATTTCATTTCAGAAGTTTAGCGATTGTAGACCCCTCCCCTCTTTTCCATCGCGGCTGGCCCGCGACTACATAATCCGCGAGGAAGTCGATTAACGCTAAAGCGAAGGCTACTGGTCTCCGAGAGCATGCCGAGAGTCCCCCGAGAGCCCCCGGTGGCTGCAGGCTGCATGTGGCGGATGGCGATTTTACTGCGCGTTTTGGCGCGCCCGGCCTGGGCGGCTGGCTGGCTGGCTGGCTGGCCGGCCGGCCGAGGGGTTTTAGCTCAAGTGGACACTAACGGGCGCGCAGCATCGCAGTCACGCGAGGCCGACAAACCGACAAACGGCGCAGTAAAGCAGTCCTGGAGAGATGCGACTCTGATTTTCCGCGCGCGTCTAAAACCTTTTCATTTTCACGACTATTCCCACAGGTTTGTGTTCGAGTCCGATTTTTTTCCACCTCCCCTCCCAGGCAGGCCGCAGCCGCGTCGCTGCGCCGACAGGTTGGCAACACTTGCGCCCAAATGCCGCGCGCGGGTATGATGGCCAGCATGACGGGCCTGCAAGGACGCCGTGCGCGGTGCGGTATCTGCCCGCCCATCTTTATCACCAACACTTTTACTAGTGCAGAAACCTGCCGGCGGGGCGGGGCGCGCGGAGGGTCAGCGCAGTAAAGTCCACGAGCGCGGCTGGAAAGTCAATCTCAGTCGTCTTCGTCGCTCTGTCTCTCTCGCACCGACACGGCACGCTCGGCGAGTGCGAGAGAGACAGAGCGACGACTCGGAATAAGCCTGCAGCTCGTTCAATAGGGGTGGCCGCGGGGCAGAGCTGAGCGAGCGGCAGAGCGGCGCAGCTCGCACTGCAGGACCGCAGGCTGAGAGAGACACGCCGCTGCCCCGTCTCTGTCGCGCTTCCTGACTGGCCGGCGGCCGTTGTTGTCGCGACGTGTTTTGCTTTATCTCCCCGTCAGTCCGCGAGTCAAGTCCGCGATACACCTGCCCTGCTGGCGGAGCCCTGGCGGACCGAGCGGCTCACTTCCTAAGCCTCTATCGGCGGTAACCCGAGCGCGGGCATAAAATTGGATCCGAACGAACGCATGCAGGCACGGCCGAGCAACGCGTCCGTGATGCGGCACTGCGAGGCACAGCGCGGCACACCACGGCGACATGCAACCGGTTGCACCGAGAGGGGCGCGGCCGACGCGACAAGTAGTTGCATCAAAAGTGTGCGGCTGTAAAAGAATGAGCGTCCTTTCTGTAGGCAGCTTTGCGCCGCTTTGCGCGCCGACTCGGCCGTCGTAACTTCCCCCCGCGAGCTAGCAGTGCGAGCGAGGTTTCTCAAGAATAAATCTCTTTCTTTCCCCGCATTTCCATTTCCCCGGCGTTGCGTTGCGTTGCCCTTGGCAACGTCGCCACCAAGTCGCTTTTATGGGCAGCCACACAAATCTCTTCAATCGTCAATTAGCTTGGCATAAATGCGTGATGTGCAGGGTGACCACTTCCACCGGCCTCTCTCTCTCTCTTCCCTCCCCTCTTCTCCACCTCTCCGTGCTCTTCCCTCTCTCTCTCTCTCTCTCTCTCTCTCTCTCTCTCTCTCTCTCTCTCTCTCTCTCTCTCTCTCTCTCTCTCTCTCTCTCTCTCTCTCTCTCTCTCTCTCTCCCTTCCCTCCGAACCCTGCGGACATTTTTCGTTTCATTTTCTTGCAGCGATGACAGGTGGCCACTTTTACCCATGACCCATTCACATTTTAATCAGCCGATCATTACGCGCGAGGAGGAACACAAATTTGAATACACGCACACACACACACGCACGCATGCGGGCAGTGACTGCACACCGCAAGGCAGGGTGAGACGGCGACGAGAAGTAATAAATATGAAACGTAATAAAATAGGCACCTCGGCTTCGATTTCGAGCGTTGCTCGGGGCGGGGCGTTGCTTATAAACGCTTAGCACGCCCTGATGAGCGACGCCAACTAACGCCACTTTCGTGGGGGAAACCACACAAAAAAGTGTTGTTGTTTTTCATAGTTTTCACGTAACGAACCTTGCCTCATTGCAATCGCAACCACAGCCGCCGTTCTAAAATCGGACTCATCGACAGATTCGCTATTTTCCCCTGACAGCCGCTGCGGTAATTGAAAACTTGAATCAAGATAGTGACCCGTTTTTATTTATTGCTGTTGACACCGTGCTTCCCTTCATAATTACTCTCCCCTCGTTCGGCTTTCGGTGGCGTGGCCGTCCACCTCTCTCCCCCTCTCTCCCTCTCTCTCGCACTGCATGCAACATGCATAATTCAGCAAATGTTAGCACTGTTGCGCTGCCTCGCCCGCTGCAAATTATCTGTCCACACCTCCCATTCTGCAAAACACGCACATTACCAACGATTCAATTTGGACTCGCATTAAACTTACTGAATAAATTTTATCGTCGTAGCCGGAGCGAAGTAAGTGTAATAGTTTGAATAGTTGACTCCGCGCTGACGGGAAGCTGTCAATAACGTGTGGAAGTCCACCCAGTGTCCCGGCAGCTGGAGAGAGGGGCGCGATCCTCCGAGGTGTAACACGTTTGGTAGGTCGTCAGTTGTTTTTTTTTTTAATAAAAGAAGAAAAGGGGATTCCCTCTCTGTGGAAAAAATAACGAAAACCGAGAAATGAAATGGTTTGGCAGTGTGTGTAAGCGGCGGCGTGATTGCTGCCCGTCCGTCCGGCCGGCGATGCTATCGCCCTTTAATGCGCATGATGCCGTATTGG